TTTTTTCTTCGTAAAGGGAAGTGATGATATGTGATCATGCAAATACAAATGCAAATGTCTGTGGACAGCACTGTTAGATGGTTGGAAGAGAATTTTAATGTGCACTCTATGCAAATGCGTTTTATAACAAAACAAAATGTGTGAGGCCTTCTGAGGGCGGGAGGGAGGAGGGGAGCAGTCCTTCTGCACACTGTGCCTGAGAGGCACGGGAGGATGAGGACCGAGCCAGAAGAATGTGCTGCACTAGGATCCTGAATAAATTCTAGGAGAGAGCGTAAGTCAAAAAGCTCAGTTGGTTGAGCCTCTTCCCATGCACCAAGAGGTCACCTGTTTGATTCCCGGTCAGGGCACAAGCCGGGATTGCAGGCTTGATCCCCAGCGCAGGGCATGCAGGAGGTAGCCAATCGATGTTTTTCTTTCTCCCTCTCCCTTTCTCTCTCTAAAATCAATAAAAAACATATTTAAAAAAACCTACCTTACATTTAACTGAGGACTGGATGCCTAATGAATCAACACCTGCAAGATCTTTCTTTATCAAGTGCTTAATCTTGAGCAATTCTCTAAGCTTACAGTGAACTTACCGAGTAAGGAGACATTAGAAAGAACAACTCTCTGTTCTGTACTGAGTCATGGGGAAAATTATGTGAACTGCACAGCAAAGACTGGAGATGAATATAAAGAAAGCTTCTGTAAATTTAGACTCTTTGTGTCAAAATTAGCATGAAGTTTCAAGCCCATTTACGGCTCTATCCTAGGCACTTGTGAAAGACGAGCAGGAGGCCTCTTCAGTGCTGACAGGCTGTGGCTCTGACCAAGTGACATTTACACATCTGCAGCAATTATAAAAAGGAAATTAGGAAAAGCCTGCATCTCTGTGATGGAGATATTTAAGCAAGCCATTCTGAATGTGTTAAAAAATTAAAATTGTAGAAAGCCAAACCATAGGTGCCATGTTTTGCCTGAAGTGGTAAAAATACCATCTGCCCAGTCTTTTAGCAGCATGCTTATGTCACGTAGCAGTAGGCTAAACTACAGGCATACGCTCGGCTCCAGCTGGGGGAAATACACAGACGCTTGTAGATGTTTTTCTAAGCAAGAGTAGGCAACATAGTCCCTTTCCTTCAGACATATATGTCAGTTACCATAGCAAACTGCGTGCGACTGTGGTCTGAGGAGCTCAGGCAGCAGTCCCAGCACACAGCCACAATTCCTGCAGTTCCGTAGGTGGCACTCTTCCCTCTAGCACTGAACTGAATCACTAGAGCTTAACCTTGGGGCCAGAAGCCTCCACAACCAGGCTGCAGACCAATCACTGTAATTAAGGTCCCCATGGCATTGTGCATATGAGCAAAACTGGTAGCACCAGCTTCTTGGTCACAATTCACTCCTGGTAATTACATTCTGTCTAATAAAACTCCTCCTGCAGTTTTAACTAGGTAAGTAAGATGTTTCTTGTTTTTCCATTTTAGAAGCTACTGGATAGAATCACCTTACAGTTAAGCAGCTGCCTTCCCTGCCCAGCCCCCAGAGGGACGAGTTTCAGTCATGGGTAGAGTACGCCTGTGCTTGTGTTAACCACCTTACCGAGGCAGGAGAGACTTAATGAATTAATAGTTGTCGAGGGCTTTGATATCTTAAGATGAAAGGCACTGCAGCCGTGCAAAGCATTCAGATCCAGACTCTACTGCAACAGGAACTCAATTAAAAAGTAATTCAATTTCTTATTTGAGTGTTTGAATACAGACCACTGTTTTGCTGAATGTGACAGACATCCTACAGATCCAGCTGAGGCTGATTTTGAAGCTATGGCCTCTTCTGCCCTTTTTCCTTCTGCCTCGCCATTCTGAGACTGACTAAATCTGAGGTGGCATCTACAGCCACAGAGCACCCGGACAAAATAATTTCCTATGGCTCTTGAAATCTTATTTTTCAGATAAAATTTGGCTTTTGAGTAAATACTCACAACTTGGCAATAAAGAAATTTCCAGCTACAGATAAATTTCATGACGGTCTCCAGAAATAGCCACTGAGTTTCCAATGTAGTTTTACAGATAAACCCACCAGGGAAGCCCCAACTCACGAGGCACGGTGCCTGCAATAGTCAGCATGAGCACTGTGACCACACAGAACGAGATGAGTAGAACTGAGGTCATGATGTGTATATGGCATAAGAGAATACGCAAACTCCACCCTGCCGACATCTCCTCCATACTTAGTAGAGATGGATATAATCTATCTTCCCCGTGGTACTTGGGTTTAGGTCAGTGTAAGGATGAGAGGTCTGGATTAATTACCTAGATAGTTATGCCCTTGGCCGGAATCGAACCTGGGACCCTTCAGTCTGCAGGCCAACACTCTATCCACTGAGCCAAACTGGCTAGGGCTGATATCAGATTTTGCAATGAGTTGGTGGCAGAGCTCGGTCCTGGGGTGTTTCATCTGTGCACCCTATTTTTTTTATTTTTTTTCAAACTTCTTCCATTGTCATGTGCTTCTGCAATAAGAAACCCTAAAGGAGTTCTTGAGTCATAAATAAGCAGCAATTATCAATAGTTACTCGATTGCTTTACTTTTTAGTTCATAAGTTAGCTTTCTTTTACTATCACAGTAAAATCCCAGCCTTTATCTCCCAACTAATTTATTACAACCGTTCTCAGCAACCTTCTCAATCTACTTAATACCTGCAACAGGTGTCAAAAGCTTTCCTTTCTTCTCTGATTAAGATAAAAAACCCTACATCAGATTTTCTCCTGAACTAACTTCATGTGCCTTCTATTCACTCACTCACTCACTCACTCACTCACTCACTCACCAAGTGTACAAAGACAAATAAGACACTGTCCCTGCCCTCTGAGAGCTCACAGGCCATGATCTGTCTCATAAGTGGATCATGATAACAGTTAAGTGCAGTGACTGAGACCCACAATGTACAGAAGAATGGAGGAAAGCACCTACTCCAGCCTGGGGAACCAGGGAGGACTTGTTGCAGCACAAGCCATACAGGAGGACAGGAGGGGCCCAATAAAGGGGGAAGGGCATTCCGAGCAGAGGGGCCAGTATGAAGAACAGAAACTGCACGTTCTATGTAATTTGGTGCTGCTGGAGCACAGGGTAGAAGGAGAAGAAGCCGGAGAGTCCCTCTCGGGGGTGTGATCACAGAGTTTTATATGCCAATCTACCAAGCTTTGAAACTGCTTTACAGACAACATGGAGCTAACGAAGGGTTTTAAGCTGGAGTGCGAAATTGTCGGATTTGTGGTTTTGACATTCTGAGTACTAATGGATTTGTGGGGACAAGGGAGAGGCAGGGAGACCAGTTAGTAGGTTTTCCAGTGGTTCAGATGAAGGGACTTACATTGAGCAATGGCTGAAAGATCAAGATGGGTTGGATTCAAGATAATTTAGGACATAAAATTGGCATGACTTGGTCATGGAATATAGGGTGAGGAAGTAGAAGCACTCAGGGTGACTTCTAAGTTTCTCATATGGTTGACTGGTGGGATGATAGTGCCAACAACAGGAGAAAGAAAAGTAACAAGGACCAGAGATATAACACTAAAAGTGGACCCTAATGGACACTATGGACTTTGGGTGATAATGATGTGTCAATGTAAGTTCATTGTAACAGATGTACTAGTACCACTCTGGAGAATATTGATAGTGGGGAGGCTGTGCCTGTGTGTGGATGGGTGGGAACTCTATACTTTTTGCTCAATTTTGCTGTGAACCTAAAGCTGCTCTAAAAAATAAAATCTATTAAAAAAAAAAAAAAAAGACCAGAGATGTCAGGGAAGGTGCTGAGTTCCATTTAAGCATTGAGCTCCTTTGCCTGTGGGAGACCCAAGAGGATATGTCCACAACTCACATTTGGGTATCTGATAAGACTCAAGCAAACATCTAAGACAAAGTGACAGATATGGAAGTTCTCAAGTTAGAGGTGCTCCTATTATCTAATTTTCTTGAGAAACAGAGAAAAGGAGGGACCGCATTTCAGACAAGGAAAGGAGTTAGAGAAAAGGCGTAAACCTCGGGCGGCCAGGAGAGCGCAGGGTTCCGGTCAGCCCTGAGAACGCTGTGGGTTTCAGCTGTTTCCCCTGCAAGCAGAACCCTTCCAGGTCGTATTTCTCCCTCCCTGTCTTTGGAGTGCAGGTGTGCTCACACCCTGGATATTCCTGCTGTTGTATAAACCAGATGGTTAACATGTTCCTTTAGCCAAGCAGCTACATGCATCCCACACACCTGCTAAAATGTTCCATTTGCCCCTGAAGGGAAAGCAGAATGCGACCCAAGTGTGTTCCTAGGCTTCACTGGTAAACTGAAATCTGAACTCCCCAAAGCAATTTTCAACCAAGGATGTGTGTCAAATTATCTGCAGCACCTTCTCTCAAACCCTTCCTCCTGCCCCTGCCCCGCTCTTCCCACCAGGGGATTTTGATCTCGGTGAAAGAGGGGGTGATGCAATGGTAACCTAGGCATGTGTGTTTTCAATAGCTCCACAGGTGATGTGAGAAATACTGCCTTCAGGAGCCCAAGTCTGCCCTGTTTGGTGCTTCCTAGGTATCATCTGATGGCATAAAAGCTCTTTTCCGTCCACTGGCCAAAGGCATCTTTCCAGCAATGCTTCCTGGTCTTACTTACCTTGTTTAGTTTTTTCTTCATAGCACTTACACCCATCTGGCATTATATTATGTATCCATTTAGTTTTTTTTCATTAGTTATCTGTCTCCCCCACTAGATTGTAAATGTCCAGAAAGGAAAGACTGGACCTGATTCACTGTTGTATTCCCCACACCTACCCTGTTGTCTGGAATGAAGCAGGCGCTTAGTAAATAAACCTATTGTTGAATGAATCTTGCTTTACCTACTAATGCCTGTTACTTAACAGGGAATGTCCCTCAGCTTTGAATGTGATTGTTCTTTTGACCTTTCAAATATAAACAGAAAAACAAACACCAAACTGAAATGTATAAAACTGTGTGCTATAAATAAAATTTACCTACCTTAGCATAGTCTAATCTTCCTTTCTCTTGAGCCTACAATAGAAAAGGGAAATATTAATTCATCAGTTCTTTAAAAATTTAGTATATATGTATACACTTCAGTAGGTAGTCTACATATAAGACATTCAAACAAGGTGAAAACTTGAGAGAACAGCACGATGAGCACACATATATGCTCTATCTGGATTTGACAGTAGCAGAAAGACTCTTCACGCCTTCCTGCTTTAGCACACATCTTGTGAGCATAAAACATCTCATACTAGTACATAACCACAGGTCCATTCTCAAAGTAACAATAACGACATACCACCTAACATACAACTCCATATTCAAATTTCTCCAATTGACCCTAGAATACTTTTCATAGTTTTTTTTTTTAACCCAAACCAGAATTAGTCAAGGTTCACACATTGCATTATTGCATTTTAAAAAAAACTTTATTTTTATTCTTGACACTATTACAGGTAAACC